CAAACAGTTCGACTTTCCATTTAGAGGCGCCTGTCTATTAGAAAAATGAGAAGAATGTTTAACTATACAACAGTTGGGTAACGGAGTATGTAGTGAAGTTTTCTCTAAACAATACTATATAGAAATATTATAGACTTCCTGACCACTGCAGTGTCTTTCAGGCAGACTTGTCTTAATTCAATATCAGAAAGTTAACAGGCCCATAGTTTAGCCCAAATTCAACAATTATCTTCTCTTGTTTATCAATGTCTACTGCATGTGTAATTTCAATTAGCTACAAAACCCTTCCTAGAGAGCATCTTAGAATTAAATAGGGGTTGTAGATTATATTAAACTATTACAGTTTAATATGGTAACACCATGGTGCAATTGGACCTAATTGGATCCTTAGGATTGCCGATATATTCCTACCTAACATTAGTTTGCATTTTAAAAATGAATTTTTACTAAAATATCAAATAAATAACTTGAATAAATAGATCTATTTACCACTTTAACAAGAAATTATCATTTTTTGAAATATATTTAATATATTTATCTTCTAAGAGATAATTTAATTTTTGCTACATTATTTATTATTATTAATATGGCATATATACAATATTTGAATATATAAACATAGCAAACTTCGCAAAGAATTTGTACAAAAGTTTTACACTTTTGCCTTTTTCGAGTGATATATCTCAGTTCACCTATCGATTTATTTGTTTCATTGTTTATGGTTCTACGCGAAGAATTGCGAGGTCGTCCTCGGGTTCTACTGTCTTGCGGATTCCAGGTTAGTGCCGCATGTGCTACGTCATTTGTGCTTTTGCATGACGTGTAATCAATTCACCTATCTTTCCGTCGTCGAATTTCTTTCTCGAGGGGCTCCTCCATAGTTGCACGCCATAGTCGCTCATTTGAGATCATTCTCAGCCATCAAGTGCGCAAAATGAGCCGAAAACATCTGTTAATGAAGCTTTGCATATATATATGTACATATATATAAATATACGTAAATGAATATTCCAATGTTTATCAACCCATAATCATTAGCCGCACAAATATTTAATGTATTTTACAAAAACCGGCAAAATGTTCTTGGTAAAAAATCTTCAAGGACAGGTAGCAATAAGTTTCAAAAAATAATATCATTAAACAACACTTTCAATAGTTTACGGCCCATTTGATAATGACAGTTTTCTCTAGATTCTCTAGAAAATAATGAATTATTAAATGTAATAAAAAACAGAAATCTTATTATAGTACTGCTAAGTAAATGTAAAATTATGATCAAAAATGATCAAATTTTTCTAAATTGAAGCAATTCTAATATAAAAAATCATATTCCACGTATCTTTTTAACAAACGTTTTGAACAAATTGCAATAATTCAACTACCAAAACGCCTCTAGATAAGATTGTGTCTGGTAATTAAATAAGCGACTTACAAAAGACTTAATTAACATTTTGCTTGAGACTTGTGGCCACTTAAGGAAATGTCAACTTTTTTATCAAATAAAATGAATCCTACTTTAAATAACGGTAGACTATGTTATTTATTTTACATTGTTTAATAATTGAATAATGTTTTTCAAAGTAAGTAACTATCAGTCATCAAGGCTATCCACAAGTTTTCATCCCATAACAACTGGTTCCAGTAGCTGCAGGTTTTTCTGCACGCATGGCTTTGAACTTTAATCAACTTTTTAAAAATAAAACCGAATTGACGTTGTATGAAAAATAAAAAAATCGTACATAGGCAGATAGCAAGTTTCTGGAAATGTTGAAATTTTGACACAAAATAAATAATTCATTTTTATTTATTTAATTAAAAAAATTTAAAACATTTTAAAAACAATCATCAAAACTCCTTTTTATTTCATGTTATTTATTATTGTTTATTGATTTCTTGTCAAGAAGAAGTAAAGAATATTTTTCATACATAACAATAGGTTTTATACTTTGTAATATATTTTTATTAATAATTCAACAAATTAATAATAAAATAAATAAAAGTATTGTTGTGAAGTGACTCCACATTTTGATAATACAATTATGAAAGTATCACCTTCAATTTTTATTAGTTTATTGTCATTTTAAAACATTTTAATAATTAACTGATAGTGTAAAGTAAATAAAAAAAATTTAATGAAATTATCTATACCAAGTAAAACACATTTCATAAAAATTTTTCTTATTGGAACTAAAAGTTCTTGTTGAATTAAAAAAAGATTGACTTATTATTTGATTTATTTTGACAAACATACATTCCTGACCGATTTCGTCAACGTTCAGTAGTATCTTTAAGACATTTTGATAAAAAAAGATTGACTTATTATTTGATTTATTTTGACAAACATACATTCCTAACCGATTTCGTCAACGTTCAGTAGTATCTTTAAGATATTTTGATAAACTTTCATGACTGGTGTAGCTGAACTCTGCAACATTTGGCCTTAGATGTGTTTTCAAATGATCACAATACCTACTCTTCTCTTATACTCAAGTGCAATTTTTTAAGCATTAAAAAGTATCCACTACATTAAACTTTCACGTCATTTAATTCAAATTACAAAAATAAAATGTGCAGTGTTTAATTGATTGAAATTAATCCTATTTTATATCAGCTTTAATTAAAAGTAATAACATTTTCCATTTGAAAGTAAACCGTTTCAGTTCTGTTAGACTTTATATTTGCTTAATTGTTAAGGTTGTTAGTCTTGACGCCGCAAATACTTACTAAAACCACCAAGTATGGTATACTAGTATAACTTCTTCTTCATTTTAAGTTTTCTTGCAAACTCTAACTAGTTCTTACCGTTGCTAGTGATTATATATTGTTGGTCAAGTAACGGAAAATTTTGCAGAAAATCAAACAAATCAGACAACTTGTTTATCCTGTAAGATTGAGTGAAAAATCTACAAAATTAAAGAATACAAAACAAATCTACAATTTGTGGAGTGATCTACGTAAAATAAAAATATATATAACGAAGCTTAAATATTGATAACTTTTTAGATTATCTAGTATTTTAACTTTTATTAAGGATTTGGTCTAATACCAAATGTTCTAAATATTTGACAAAAGATCCAATGTAGATAAATATTAGTGCTTAGTTACTTTGTTAAATAAAAAAATACATACTTGCTTAGATTACCTCAAATCGCTCTTCATACAATTATAATATTCGATATTAAGGTTTCCACCCACTGCCTTGATATATTCATTTTCCCACTAGAAAATAATCGCAGTGATATATTTACAAAGCTTGTTAAGGAAGATAATCTCACACAGGTCCAAAGTAGTTCCGGTTTAGAGAAGAATTTTTGTACTGAATGCATATAATGCATATAATGTGATGTGCTAGTGATAAGTCGTTTCGTATTTGGCATCAAGGTTCTTAATGTTATTTTTGACGAGGTTAAATATTTTGTAAAAAGAGGAGATGGGTAGTTACTTTGAAATGTATATACAATAGTATGTCGTTGCTGTATAAAATTTCTTACTAATAAGAATTGTTTGACATATCTGTTAAAATTTAGAAGAATAATATTTTTTTATGACAAGTATTCACCGAAAATTTTCAACATTTACACATTGTTACAGTGAAATAAAACCAGATGAACAACGGTTTTAAACAAAATTCTTAGTATGGATTGATATTCTGTTGATGATTTCGTTCTAATATTTCTCGCTGTTATCTTTGAACCTTTAGATTAGATAAGGTTTAAGGGCACATCTGCGACAAACTCCATGCAGGCCATTGGAGTCTCGCACAGGTTCCAAGCTAAGTTGGTTTTGAAATAAGCAACTTATATAATCCAAGTTATATTAGTTTTTATTAAGAAGCAACATATTTTCAGTAATAGATATACATTCAACTTTAATATGACTTTTTATCAGCAATCTGAAAAAAATAATGTAACGACAAATTGAACTGTGGTTAGAAATCAAACATTATTGAACTATAGCATTTAATATAAAATATATAACAAGTACATCGTAACTAATTAAGTATAATTTATGATTTAGGTACATAATATAACATTTTAATTGTTAAATTATTAAATTATAATTGTTATTAATGAAAAATATTATTAATATATATTTTAATATATAAATATATATATTAATATACAAACTATAAATATATTTTAATATATTTAATAATATTTAATAATTTACATTATTGTAAATAAGGGTTTAGATATTTTTAATGCATCGAAACAGCCATATTAGTCTATTTGTCAGTTTACACATCTGTTAGTTCCTAAAAAAGTTAATTTATAACCGCAGCTTGCCGTAAGAGCTCAGGGGTTCAGGAGAGACCAATAAACAGGGAAAACATTCGATCTACAATTCTAGTAAGAAATAATTGTAGGTAATTAGTAGAAATAAAACAGCTCGCATACTTTTGATAAATCCAAGTAAATGAAAAAAATTTATTTACATTATCATGCAAAACCAACTGTCTAAAACTACTACTAATGGAATCGTGATTAGTTAGTTTATTAATTGGAATTAATTTATTTTACTATAACATTTAATAAAAGAATATTATTTACTTTATATACTTTTATACTTTTATATATACTTTTATATATTTTTAATTATATTGTACATATATAATTATTGAAATGAGTGCGTTCTTATGGGTGTTATAGCAAAAATTTAAGTTTCAATTAGGCAACAATATTTCTTGTGGTAATATCTGGGTTCTCTTTTTATTCTGAAATA